TTTCTACCTTATCCTCCAGCCCACTGATTCAGTCCTCTGCTTCATCTAGCCTGCTTTTCATTCCTTCTGCTGTGTTGTTCATATCAGAAATTGTATTCTTCATTTCCTCTTGCCTCTTATTGATAGTTTCTATGTCCTTTTTCATTCTGATATAGTTTGCAGTGAGTTCCTAGTAGTTTCACTATATTTTTTTGTAATTCTCTCTGAGCTCACTGAGCTCATTGAGCTTCTTTAGAACCGTTGTTTGGAACTCCGTATCTGATAGTTTACTTGCCTCTATTTCATTTAGCTCTCTTTCTGGGGATTCTTCCTTTCCCTTTGATTGGGACGGGGGGGTGTTTCTTTGTCTTCCCATTATTTTGAGACTCTTCCTTTTTGCTTCTGCTTCTTAAATTAGTCTGTCTTCATTTCCTGACTTTGTGATGTGAACTTCTATGGTAGGAGACCGCTGTTTTTTTCCTTTCTGGATCTGCCTCTGATTGATGTCAGATGTTGACCCTGTCTGACCTTAGGCAGTCTATTCCAGACTTCCAGGGGTCTACTGTCTGTGGCTGTCTCATTCAGTTGTTAATCTAGTGACTCTACAATAAGCAGTCGCCTTAGACACCACAAGGTGGAGCAGAGTCCCTCCTGGGGGTGGGGTTATTGGGTCCTCTCACGCTGCTGCCACTCAGGGGAGTAGTCTGCCTGAGCCAGATGGCTGCTGCCATATGCAGGATGAGTCAGCACCAGGATCCTGCCAGCGACTCTCTCAGTTCTCTCCCCAAAGCCTCCCTCCCCAGTCTCTCCTCAGGCGTCTCTAGCCCACTCTGTCTGCCTTTGCTGGAGCCCAGAGTAAGTGGCTGCAAATAAAAATTTATGTGTTGGTCCTTGAAAAGGCTCTTTGCACCTCCAGCTGCCCATCTCTGGCAGAGAGCAACCCTGCTGCTTTTCACAACTGGTTGTTATCTGTGTACCTTTAGGGCTCTGGTGCTGCAGGCTGGAGATTCCCGCCTATGGTTTAGACCTCGCTTTTCTGAGGGGGATCCAACTGGCCATTTCAATATCCTTCTACTGTTGCCACCCATGGGCACCCCGCCCACCTTCTCTAGTCTCTACCGCACTCCTTACCAGTTAGGTTGTGCTAAAGCTGATTCTTCTGTCTGTCCGAGGTTATAAGGCTCCTCTCTCACTAATGTTCAGGTGTTTGTTCCGGGTTATTTCTCCACAATTTAGCTGTAATTCCAGGTTGGTCCTGACAGGAGGTCAGTGTGACTTCCATTCACTCCTCTGCCATTTCGATTCTCCAGAAATGAAAACTTATGTCTACCCAAAACTTTATGTGAATGTTCACAGTGCTATTCTTCTTAATAGCTAGAAAGTAGAAATAACCTAAATGTCCATCCTCTAATGAATGGATAAATAAATGAGGTCTATCTATACAATGGAATATTATTTGACTATTAAAAAGGAACTAAGTGCTGATACATGCTACAACATGGATGAAGCATGGAAACAAGGTAAGCTGCATGAAAGAAGCCAAGCACACAATAGTACATATTATAGGATTCCATTTATGTGAAATATCAAAAGAGGCACATCCATGGAGACAGAAAGTAGATTAGTGGTTGCCAGGGAAGAGAGCAATGGGGAGTGAATGCTAATGGGTACAATGTTTTGTTTTGGGGTGATGAACATGTTTTGGAATTAGATAGGGGTGATGGCTTACAACCTGTGACTTTACTAAATCTACTGGTTTGTGCCCTTTAAATGATGAATTTTATGGTATGTAAATTATATCTTATTTTAGTCCACTTGGGCTGCTTATTAACAACAGAAATTTACTGCTCATAGTTGTGGAGGCTGGAAGTCTGAGATCAGGGTGCCAGCATGGTTGGGTGAGGGCCTGTGTGAGTATCCTATATCCTGTCCCACAACAGCCTTCCTCCCAAAGGTTTTAACACCCATTAAAGATTATTGTCTGGATCATTCATTTTACTGTGACTTAAAAAGTACTTTTCTATTTCTATCTATTCTTCTACAGTTACTCATTGCAGCTCTCCATCTACCCCCTTTCTTTAACATTTTTATTTTAGTATCATTATGAACTCATGAATTTTTTATTGAAGTGAAATTCACATAAGATTGACCATTTTAAGCTGTACAATTCAGTGGCATTTTGTATTTTCAGTGTTGGACAGCCACCATCTGTATCTAGTTCCCAGACATTTTCATCACCCAAAAGAAAACTTCATACCCACTGAGCCATCACTCCCCTTTCCCCTATTCCTCAGCCCCTGGTAACCACTCATTTGCTTATTGTCTCCATGGATTTACCTTTTCTGGAGATTTCATATGAGTGGAATCACACAATGTGTGACCTTTTGGGGGCCTTATTTCACTTAGCATTATGTTTTCAAGGTTCACCCACATTGTAACACGTATCAGAACTTTATGCCATTTAACAGCTGGAAAATATTTTACTACATGGATCACCACATTCTAGTTATCCATTTTTCAGTTGATGGGCATTTGGGTTGTTTCATCTGTTTTGCTATTATAGTGCCCTTACACATTTGTGTACAAGGTCGTAGTGTTCTTATAAACATTTGTGTCAACCCAAGGGTGCCTCACCAGGACCTGAGCATATTGGCACCCTGACCTCAGACTTACAACCTCTAGGACTATGAGAAATAAATTTCTATTGTTTATAAACCACACAGTTTATGATATCTTGTTAGAGCAATCCAGAGGGATAAAGGCCCATTTGTTTGAGTGCCATTTACATATATAATTTTTATTATTCTCGCCACTATTAATTTCCATTCTCATATTGTCCCATACTTGACTAGTGAAAGCCCCTTTGTAATTTCATTTTTAAATAAATTTCTAACTATACAAATAAAACAATGCATCTCCTTAAAAATAAAACAAAGTCTTCTTGGGCCTACCCCCATCCCAGCCCCCTCCCAAGAAGAAACTGTGTCAGCTTAAAGGCATCTTTCCAGGCTTTTCTCTGTGCACTTACATAACATGCATATCCTGAGAAAACATAGTGTTTGATGTTTTTTTCTCTTATGTAACTGATATTCTACAGTAGTATGACACTGTAAGTTGCATTTTAAAAAAAATCTAACAATATGACTTGGTGAAATTATTGAAATTGATAGGTTCTTTAAAATACACCACATATCGTCAAATCAGTTGTGCCTGGAACTTTCTACATGTCATATCTCACTCATTCACACACCATTTCAAGGTAGGTATTATTTGTAGTACTTGAAAAATTAGAAAATTAAATTTCAGAGAAGTAACTTGCCCGAGTACCTAGCATGTGAAAAGATCTCCACGATTATATATTAAATGAGTGGATATGATTAATCAGCAGCCAAGCTGGGTCAATTCAGTGCTTGTGCACACAGAACTAGGAACCCAGGAGGCAATCCTTGTGTATTTGTAGCAACCGCCATTAGAAGCTGCTGTGAGGCAGGGTACAGATTATAATTGCCTGCTTTCAGCAGTCCTAAGGGAAGAACTCTCCAGGACAAAATCTACGGCTCAGTAGGAAAACACATCAAGCCTTTGGTAAACATACAATATTTGGAAAAAGGGGTTGATTTGAATACCCAAGCTAGTAATAATCCCCTGATAGCAATTTCCTGCAGGCTGGCTCTTAACACACATGCCTGACAGTTTGTCCATCTTCCCTTAGTTGCATACATGATGTCATTAGCCCAAGCAGCCACGGTAATGTACACTCCAGCGTATATTGAGTTAGCACCAAAACCCTTGCATCTCCAAGCCTTGGAGGAGACTCCCAGAGGAAGACACCTGCTTACAGTGCTAAAAGGGCCTTTCACTTTACGGCTCCATCCAACAGGCTCGTTGGGAGGGTTCCCACACCTGAGTCTGCATCCCAGCTCTGCCTAAGGCTGGGTGACTTTGAGTGAGAGGCACTTCACCTCTGAACCTCAGGGGTGGTTGTGTGGATGAAAGAAGAACTTACTGGTGGAAGGGCCAGCAGAGTGGCTTGTCAATAACTGTGACTCAGGAATGCAGAAAGCCACCTTCTTCTATGCTGTCCCAGCAGCAACTTCTCCTGGGGACAACTGGACCAGGACTACAACAGATTCCCAAGATAGCCAGCTGGCTCTCCGTGTAATGGGAGTTCAGGAAACACAATGTTTGCTTTAAAAACAAAAACCAAACAACAAAAAAACCCAGAACACAAAAAACTATGTTGTTTCACCACCCTATCAAACGACCCCCCACCCCGCGGCTGTTTTATCAACAGTAACTATGAAATTGATCTTGACTCTCTTTTGTCCCTAAAGAGAAATCCATTTAAAAATAATTAAGACCAAAAAATGCCAACTGAGGTGCTGTGTGTGCGCACTTGAGCTCATAAAAATATTTTACATCTGTGGCCCTATGTGCTTGGAAGTTCACTTTAAGTAAAACACTTGTATCGGATTTCATTTCCTATTAGACTCCCAATTAAGACTGAGATTCTTCATTCGCTGGGACTGGGGACTTGATGAATAGACGAATGAATGAAATAACTACCAGCTATTATTAATAATGGGAACTAAGAACAAAGATGATTACAATAATAAATAGCTGTCACGCTGGTTAACGGCACATGCTCTAAAGCCCTATTACCCAAACTGGAATCAAATCCTCTCCACTCGGCAGCTGTGTGACGTCGGGCGAGTTATCTAACGGCCTCCCACACGCAGACCCGGTTCAACCAGGCGTGCCGCCCCAGCTAACGCGGGCAAGTGAGAACTGCACCTCCCTCACGCCCAGAGCTAGAACTGCAAGTGTCCACAGGCGGTCCCGGCGCGCTAGGGTGCGTGACAGGTGGGCGTGGTCAGGGGGTCGGGCGGTCCGACGCAGCTGAGGGGGCGGGGCCACGCCTGCGCAGACCTCCTACCATGGCGGCGGTCTGACCCTTCCTGCGAGAAGGTTGAATGGGACTCCAGGTTGCGGCTCGTAGCGGGTAAGCCCCCAGGAGAGGCGGTCGGACGGGTTACAGTGAGGGAGTTGGGCGGCGGGGTGGTTCTCCCGCCACCAAGGCCGTCTTGAAGTCCTGCCACGGAACTGAAGCCCAACTCTCAGTCTCAGAGCGAGCGCATGTGGCGAGATGTTGATGGTCATTGAATCGATCTAACCAGTGAGTATATGGTTGTTTATATGCTCTACCCTCAACTTTGTGTTTTTAAAAATTTTTTCGTAATAAAGTTGGAGAAAATTAAGAGAGAAAGAAAACTTTATGTCATGAATAGGAGACTACTTTGAAAATGAACACAGTGCAAACAAAATAACACAATTCTAGCGGGATTCTTTTCCCTTGCCCAGGCTCGGAGACTTTCTCCTTTAGGAAAAATTAAAAGAATTGAGGAGGAAAGCACTTGCCCCAGGTGATACAAAGCTATTTATCACCCGGCTGGGTATGTTTACTCCACACTGCCTCCTTTGGGACTTGCTGTCACCTCTCAGGTGCTGCTGTTCTGTGATTAATGTGGAGACCAGGCCATGGTAGATGGCTCCCACCTCCGCCATGGACGAGGTCACCTTCAAAAGCGACACCGTGCTCTCAGACGTCCACCTCTACACCCCCAGCCAGAGACACCTCATGGTGCGGCTGAACAGCATGGGGCAGCCTGGTAAGGCCCTGGTGTGTGTGGAGGGACCCAACACCCAGTGGATCCCATTTTGTTTTCTTATACTCGTTTTGGGGGGAAAGATTGGGAAGACTGGATTAACTCTTATCGTCACACCACTTCTTAAGTGCCTTTCTTTCATTGCGTAAACTGTACTTTACTGCGTCCCTGCTGTGTGACAGGCCTGAGACTTGATGCTAGAAAAGCAAAAGTGAGCGGGCGTAGCTCTGCCTCAGGGAGCCTGAAGTCTGATGAGGAGGCAGGACCCTGGGTCCCTCTGCCCACAGCCCTCCATCCCCACTACTCCAGTCCAGCACCCTTCATCCCATGCTGGCTACCTCCAGCTCCTCCCGCCAGGGCTCCCTGGCTTTTGTCCTATAGTCTCCCCGACTCATCTCCCCAGAAGCCAAGGAGATCTCTTGAAAGCGTGAATCAAATTATATCACTGCCCTGATTTAGACCCTCCAGTGGCTTCCCCCTTTTTTTTTTTAGAATAAAATCAGGCACCTCAGCTTGGCCTATAAGGCCCAGCTCAAACCAGCCCCTGCCTGTATGTCCACCATTGTCCTCCTCTTCCTTACTGCTCTGTGGCCACATTCTGCTCCTTTTTGCCCCCTACACACTGCACACATCTTCCCTCAATGCCTTTGCTTTTGCTGTTCACTGCCCAGAACATCTTTTTTCCTAGCCCAGGCTCCTGAGATGTCATGTCAGACAGGCCCTCCCTGGCCACCCTCTCTGACTACGGTCAATACGTATTAGCTTGTTATTCTGGTGTGACTAATAGCTCCCCTTCCTTCGTGTCTCAGTTTGGGTTCCTGAATTCCAGAAACTGAAGCTTAGAACAGATTAGTGACTTGCCAAAATCAGACAGCCTAGGAAGATGGAGGACTCCAGCCTAGGACTGTCTGCTCCAGTCTTTGTACCTCCCACCTCCAGCCCTCCTCTCCTGGCACACATACTCTTACTGAAACTTTCCTGGCCAACAGATGGTGAAGGATACTTGGTATCCTTGCCCTCTACTCCTTAAGAAGTGGAATAGTGTAATGAGAAGGGCATCAGCTTAGGAGGTGAGCAAACTAGGTTTGAGTCTTACCTCAGCCTCAGCCACCTTCCGAGTTGTGTAGCTTTGTCAGCTCACTTAACTTCTAAGCCTCAGTTTAGAGACTTCTAACATCTCTTAGATGGAGCCATTACTGCTATCTCCATAGCAGCTGTGAGGATTAAATGAGATAAAGTGGGCTGAGTGCCTACATTGTAGATGGTCATCAAATGATAGCTGCTCTCAATGGTGGTTGGGGCTGCTTGGTCACTCCAGTGTCATGGCTGAATCAAATGGACCTCCTCTGCTGGCATTAGTATGTCTCCACCTGTCCTTTAAAACTCTGTTCCAAAATCAAGTTTTCTGAAAGGAGAGAAAGAGAAAAAGAAGACAGCTGGAAATATTCTCCTTTTGTGTTTTGTCTTTCAGTTTTTCTGTCCCATTTCAAGCTTGTGTGGAGCCAAGATTCTCAGATAGACTCGGGGACTGAGGGTGGTGATTACGGAGATGTTCCCCCAGAGGAGACTCCGGTTGGGACGGGCAGCACCGGGTCCCCTGCTGGGAGTAGCTGCAGCAGTGAGGGTTTTTCCCTCCAGGCCAGCACTGACGCCACTGGCCAGGAAGGGGCGGGAGCTCAGCTAGATGAAGATGGGGATTTGGACGTCGTAAGAAGACCGCGAGCTGCCTCTGACCCTGAGCCTGCATGGCGTCTGAGAGACAAGGTACATCCCATGATTCTAACACAGGAAGAAGATGATGTCCCGGGAGATGAAGCACAAGAGAACAGCACCCACGATGTCATTAAAATAGGTAAATAAAGGTCTGTTTGTCTGTCACTAAGACAACATCACAGTGTTGATCAGGTCACAGTGTGTTGAAGCGTCAGCTCTGTGTTCAGGCCCAGGCTAGAGTATCATGGCCATTAGTTATCACCCCTTCTAAGGACGCCGTGCCGGTGGTGTGGGTCAGAGATGGAGAGTGAGGAACTCTCAGCCAGCCTGGCCGGCAACAGAGCTATGAGAGATTGTGGAGCTAGAGTATGGCAGAGAGATGGGGAGGTAGATCCCGAATTAATCTGGAGGAGTGTTGTAGGCCAGTTAGTTGGACCATGATCTGGGAGCAGGAAGCCAGATGGGGAAGGAGAGGTGACAAAGAAGCAGAAGAAGTAGGATGGGAAAGAGGCTCCAGGCAGGGTCAAGAGCGTCCACTACCCAGGTATAGGGGTGGAACAGAGGGATTTGGTGACACCAGGATCTCAGATCCCTAGAAATGCCAGGAGTAGTAAGGATCCAGAGTGCTGGTTAAACACGTGTTGTGCTCTGATATTTTACCTACGTCACCTCACATATTCTTTACAGCCCCTTCTGCCGGGGAGTACTGATGAGGAGGTAAAAAGCCCAAGGCCGTGCCCCTGACAGTGAGAAAGGTTTTGAATCCATGTGATCTGTCTCCACAGCCCGGAGTCTTGTCACCCCCAACACTGCTCATTTTGGGGAAAGGAGCTCTGATTTGAGTCTGTTCTTTGAGAACCTGTGCACTGACCTGGGTTGGCGGCATGGAGTGCATTGAGGCATTCTCGAAAACAGACAGAATAGCAGTTCTGATCTCCATCTGCCCATCTGTTGAACTGACAGCTATTGAGTGCCTGCTGCCACCAGGCAGGCTGTATTCTAGACCACTCCCGTGGGACACTTGGATCCTTGTCCTGCTGGTACCAACAAGTACCAGTCATGGAATTCACGTCAGAACCTTGTTCCACACGTTCCGTGGTTTACCCCCGGTCCTCACAGCCTTTCCCCTGCTGGGTATTCCCATTTCACAGAGGCAGGAACTGAGGCTCAGAGATGCTGAGAAATTTGTCCGAGCCACAGCTCATACCCAGGTCTGTCTGGCGCCACAGCCCATTTTCTTACCCACATCATGTGATCAGAACATTGCAAGTTTCTGTTCTCAGGACGAGGGTAGTGAGGTTGATGGTGGCTCATTTCACTCTCTGTCCTCACTTGGGCGCTCCCCCACCCCCCGCCCCGCAAGAGGGGAGAGGCAGGCTTGGTTATTTCATGAGTGCTTAGCCTCTGGTGTGCGTGTGATTAATGTGGGAATTTACCATCCTGCCAGCTAAGAATAAAGTCGCACAGGAAAGGACTGCTCCCCACCTGCCCATTGCCCTCTCTCCCTGTGCCTGGAATTTCACTTTCCTTTTCAGCTCACTGTCAGTGGGTCCCTGTCTGTCCTGAGCGTATAAAGTGGAAGCAGAATCAAGTGCTTGAGCGTAAGCCATAACTTAATTATTCCATCTGCTGCCATAGTGCCGTGACGTAGGAGACAGGGTCTTGGACTCCGGTATCCTGCAGAGTTGGGTTTTGAACTGACTTCCGCCCCTTATAAGCCAGGTGACCTTGGGCAAGTATCTTGCCCACCCAGAAGCTCCTTTTTTGTACATGTGAAATGGCCTTTTTGGCTTTTGGTGGTAATTTAATTAAAAATGCCCAGAAAGAGCCTACTATGGGGCCTGGCATAAGGTAGATGCTAAACAGATGTGACTCTCCTGACCATCCTTTTCCTATGATCCATGAACCAAGCCATTTTATTTCAGGTTATAGGGCCACAGGAGAAACTAATTTTAAAAAAAGAAGAGAAAAAACTTTCCTGGGGGAGGAGAATGTGTTTTCCACAGGATTTATCAAAACCGTAAAATGTATTCACGGGCCTGCTAGGAAGCCACAGACGCAACGTTCAAAGTAAATTGTCAATTTTACTCATTTTATAGAACTGAGACCCAAAGAGAACTCTGAAGAAGAAGGGCTGGAACTTAGGCTATTGGATTCCAGATGCCTTATCCACTGGCTGTGTGAATTGGGCAAGTCCCTCAACCTCTCAGGGTTCATTTTCTTTGTAAAATGGGTATAATCTCTGGGCATGAGGAACTAAGTAAGAGATGGCATGTGGAAAGCTCTTATCTCAGTGCCTGGCACATGGTAGGTGTTCAATAAATGTGAGACACTGTCAGCTTTAATTCCTGGGAACTGATTTGAGCTGGGAGAAGGGAGACTGGCTGAGGAAGTGAGTTTCCTGCAGGTCCGGAGACTACCTTCATAGGAGCAGGATCCAGATCAGATACTAAAACAATTTGTCTCGCCCCATTTGCTAACTGTTGAGTTTCTCATGGGTGTGTTCATCAGGCTGGACTTTTCTGTCCTTACGATGCTACTGGAATTACTTAAATATAAACTGTGACTTTCCACTGGGGCAAGAGTGCCGCCCCCACCCCATCCTGGGTTAGGGAGACCATTAAGCCCATGAATGAGGTGGTGATGTTATTTCTGCATTTTGTAAAAGAGCAAACTGTATCTCTGGCTCTGAGGAATTCGGTGACTCAAGTCACCCAGCTAGAATATGGCAAAACCTGTTCCCATGCAGGTCTGTCTGAGCTCAGTCCACATTCTCTATAAAGAGAAGCCGATCAACCCCTTGAATATAGCTGGGAGACAAAACTTAACGTCCATAAAACTCCTTGGAGAAAATGACCGTGTTTGACTGAGATTCTGGTGGTAGGATGCCCCTGGGGTTGGGGAGCAGAATACGCTGAGGACACTGGGCCAGGCAGAGTTGAGAGAGAACGTGGAAGATAGTAGGATGCCCATGGGAAGGGAGCATGTAGGGGCTGAAAGGCTCAACAAACTGGTTGGGACAGGAGTTGGGCAGCTGCCACGGAGGGTCTGGAGCAGGGCTATAAAAGTGAGGACCCCCGAGACCACTTTACTTACCCCCAACTCCAACACACAAGCCTTCAGCCTGCAGGGTGAGTCCCTGTTTTAAACCATGTCCCTGGGCACCCATTCAGGTCCTTCCCCACAGTAAAAGGAACACTCTCCCTTCTGGAGAGAGGCAGGCGAACAGCAGGCAACCTGATGTGAACTCCTGTGTCTGCTGCTTGCTAGCTCTGTGCCCTGCAGTGGCCCGCTCCACTTCCCAAGCCTCGTTTCCTCATCTTGAAGCTAACACTTGAACCTTTTTCATTAGGTTGTTTTTAGGGTTAAATGAAATCTTACAAAGCATTTAACACAGTGCCTGGCTCAGAGAAGGTATACTTTTCCTATAACTCTTAAAAATATAATGCCAAGCGTCAGCCAGTCTCAGTGTCTTTGGCTTTGTCTGTAAAATGGGGTGGTGATAACTACTCAGGGCCATGGGGAGAATCAGGTAAAGTAAAATCCCCAGAGCCCCAGGCCTGACCCAGGGAGAGGTGTCAATCCAGTGAGTGTCCTGTGCGGGATTCAGTGTCATTGTTTCGATGGACATACTTCTGCTCCAGTTTCAAACCAAGTGGACACACGCGGGGGTTCAGCAATCTGAAGTCCTCCTGAAGGCATATTTTTACTGAAAGTGGCTCCTTCCAAACCACAATGTCAAATCCAGCCAAGATATCGAGGGCAATGCATTAATCACCATTTATTCAGGGATCAGATTCTAAGTCTGTCTGAAGGACAGAAATCTCTGGTCAGATTTGTTCCGGAGTAGCCCTCAGAGCAGTGGCCTGGGTTCCCTGGAGGACTACATGCAGCCAGTTTCTCACCTGGCCTGGGGACAGCCAGCTGCTGCTTCAGGAGAGCACCAGACAGAGCAGTTAGCTTAAGTCCTGGACCCCAGTTGGACAAATAGCACTCATCTGTAAACATGGCAGCACCCTTGCCACAGAGAGGTGCCCATACCCTGAGTGCATGAGGGGACCAAAAACAAACAAGGGACATGCAGACTGTCCACCTCACCTCCTAGGGCAGGCCTTCCTGGAGGGGAGCATCACCCACACTACCTCCAACTTCCCCTTCTTAGGTCCCTCAGTCCCACCTCCTGTTCATTGTGAGCTTGTGGTTTGATTCTTGCAAGTCCAATAAGCATGCAAAGCTACCCTACTATGCATGTGTTGTGTGTTTAAGCCTGATAGCTATCACCATCTCACTTGAAAATGTAAGAGCTAGTTCTTACTTAACAGCAAAAATGTTTGCCATGATTGTTTTTTCTCCTTGGTCTCATATTTCTAGTCCCTTCCCCCAACTGTCACCACCAGATGTTCTCCTAATATATGTTGTACTTGAGAAATACTTCTTACATACCTCTCTTCATCTAGAAAAGGGTATACAACTCAGCTTATTGGTTGACTTCTCGTGTGGTTCGAAGTATAAAGAAATATTTTGAGATAAGTTGTGATTATTATAAGCATACAGTTGATCACAACATAAATGTGACAATTTTAGTACGCAGTTGTTAAACATAAAAAGAGGAATGTGGATATGCATTGTCTGATTAAGTTGAGCCATTGTGACCCCGGTCTTCAGACTGGGCACAGAGATCCAGCTACCTGAGAGTGAGCCCTGGTGCCTGGTCTGTGAGTGATGCTGAAATGTCCCCTCCCAACCTGTAGCACATCCTGAGTTTCTGCTGCTCCTTAGATACTCAACCCCAGTGCCCATCCCACCGTGCCTGCAGATTGCCATGCTCCTCATCTGTTTATGTCCATCCCCATTTTCACAGTGGCCCTTTCTCTTTTGATTTCCATCCTGTCCAGAACACACCATGGCCACGCCCCTGGATGATGTTGGCAAGCAGGTGGGTAGGTCCCATCCACTTTCCATGACCCTGAAGGGTCTCCCCTGAGCCTCACGTCACCTGTTGTTCCTTGTCCATCTCTCCCCAGGTGTGGCGGGGTGCCCTGTTCCTGGCTGACTACATCCTGTTCCAATGGGACCTTTTCCAGGGTCGCACTGTGCTGGAGCTTGGGGCAGGCACAGGGTTCGCCAGCATCATTGCAGCCACCGTGGCGCAGACTGTGTACTGTACAGGTAACAAACACCCAGGACCTCCGCCTCAGGGGAAGTTGTCTCTTCCCAAAGTGTGTACTGATTATGTAAAAAGTGAGTTTGAAATGGAAATCGCACATGGGCTACTAATGATATTTTCATCCTGTTGCATGGTTTCCTCCACCCTACATTCTCCATTGTTCTCTCAATAAAGTCAGAATGACCCAGCAACACCCAGTCCTTGGTGGCCAGCTGCAGCACCCACTTTGTTTCAGAAGGTGCTGGCAGCTCTGCTGGTGTCTCTGATCACACCCCCATGAAAGACCAAACATCTCAAAAACCACGAATGTGCCTTTTATAAGGCTTAAAAACAAGCTAGTTGTTTTTTTCCAAATTATAAAAGCTTTGCTTACTATTAGTGGAAAACTTGTGGAAAACAACAAATAAAAATTACTCATAATTTTAGAATCCCCAGATTCAGTAAAGCATATGCAGTTTTTTGAATGCCTACTATGTGCCAGACATTTTTCCAAATGCAGGAGATCCAGGAGTGAATAAAACAAATCAGATTGTTGTCCTTGGAGAGCATATGTTTTAGAATCTATATTTTGACTATAATTTCTTTTAACCTTTTTTCTTTTCCTTTGTGTGTACATACTCCCAAACAATAGCTGCCATCAAACTATGTATATTCAGTACTGTATCCTCCAAAAATATTGAAAAACATTTTAAGAGTATTTTCTAATGTCATTAAAAATTATTTATAAATAGTATTTTAATGACCAGGGAAATGTTTCTTTTCTTTTTCCCATTTTTCTTTTGCTGGGTATTTTGGTTGTTCCCATGGTGTTTTTGTTTGATTTGCATTTGTCAGTTGCACTGCCCTGAGCACCTTTGTTCATTGTTAAACAAGATTCCTGGGAGTGTGACCTTAAGTTTTTGATACATGCTGCCAACTAATTTCCTTTTTAATTTTTAATTTTGAAATAACATTAGATTCACACAGAAGTTGCCAAAATAGTACAGAAAGTATCATGTACCCTTCACCAGCTCCCTTCAGTAGTAACATCTTACATAACAATACTTGGTGAAAACCAGCAAATTGACATGAGCATGGTACTATCACCTGAACTCGACCTGCCAACGTGCCCTTATAGGAAGAGTGTTAACAGTTATGACAGTATTATCTCACCAGGGAAGTATTAGTATTAGGTTTTAAATCTTTGGTATCTACTGGTTGAAAATGGTATCTGCTGAGGTAGTTTGCATTTCATTGATTCCTAGTTCACATTTTCCTGGGCCACTCCTGAGACAGGGAAGAGGAAGCTAGGGATGGCCTGTGCTCAGGCATACTTTTCAGATATCCTGCCTTAACCACTGTCAGGGGTCTGCAGGCAGCCACCCTATTTGATGCTCCTTGACAATTTCATGTACATTGCCAGTGAGCACTTCTCAGAGTCAAACCGCAGTGCAATACCCAAGAGCTGTGTTCTGTGCCTAGTGCCTGATAGCAGGATGTAATCAAGTTGTCTTATCCTTGAGAGCAATTTACCAATGTGCAGAAGAGCGCATACACTTGGATGGCACGTTACAGCTAGTAAAACCTTTCATGTACATCAGTACCGGCTTGTAATTTCACAGTGTCTCTGGGCAGTTGCCAGGGAGCATGTTACCAAATGGATAGACTGAGGCTAAGGTCAGTTGGCTGGCCAAGTTCACATGCAATAAGGAATGGGGGAACAGGCCCAGGGCTCCCACCCCCACTCAGCCAGAGCTGCCACTCTCTTAACTGGTATATATGTTAGAATCCCACACAAGATCTGTTTTGACAAAACTATCATAGAGGCTCTGCATGGTCCCTAGGATGGAGACAGCAGGTGGGATGGGGACATCGTAGCCACAGTGGACAGGCAGGTGTCATTAGCAGCACTTTTCTGTAGCTTCCACGCATAACTTCTCTTCATTGAAAATTAAGTTTTTGGCAAAGCAGTGTCCCGTCTACCTCCCCTTGCCCCCTACAGTAAGGATTCACTGCACTGCAACTCAGATCTGCTGAAATGATAGTTCTGCCCACCTGGTCAGAGTAGCAGGTGGCTGGGGGAAGATGCAGATGGCAGTGACAGTGAATCATGCACAGGAGAGTGTGCCGCCAGCCTGTTTCAGTCTGCTCTGCATATCCATTAATCACATCCAAACACCCTTCTAATTCTGGTCAGTTTTCTGTGGTGTCGAAGAGCAGGCCTACATTTGGAATCAGAAGTACCTGGGTTGAGATCCCAGTTCTTGCTCTTTATAGTTACATGACTTTGCTCGAGTCTCTTTCTCTGTGAGATGAGAACCATGATACCATGTCATGGAGTTGTTAGAAACACTCATGGATTGGGAGAAGTGCTATGCTGGTTTCATAACCTCACAAAATGTAGAGAAGGGGAGCTCTCACCCTTCCCTCTGGCGTGCCCAGAAGTGTCTCCACCAGGATGATCATCTCTTATTTAAAGAAAAGTTCACTTAAAAGAGCCTTTAGTTGGACATGTTTTTGCACATTTCTGTAGTCATGCTGTTGATACGGGCTCTCTCCAGGCAAAACTTCAGAGATAAAAGTGTCGTAATGGCTGACGCTATATGTCACACCCTTCTGTCATTCCAGATGTCGGTGCAGATCTCTTGGCCATGTGCCAGCGAAACATTGCCCTCAACAGCCACCTGACTACCTCTGGAGGTGAGGCCCAGAGGGTCTTCCGCCTGGGAGGGAGGTGTCTCTCTTTGGCAAGTGGGACATACACCCAGGATCATGACCCTGGGAGATGGGGTTCCACCTGCTTCCCTCTACACCAAGGTGAATGCAGGGAGCGGACATAGTCGAAACTTTTTGTAGCTTCAGATCCTACATCATTCTGTCCTTGCATCATCTCATCTTCCCACACCCATGGCCACATGCCACTTCAGCCCTCTCCCTCCTGGACATCACAGTGGCCCCCTACATAATTACCCAGCTCCCTGTCTGACCATGCTGCCCTCCACGTAGCATCCAAAGTGACCTTTCTAGATACAAGCCTGACCCTTTCAAGGGGTAAAGTCTGAGCCCTTCCTCTGGCTCCCAAACCTCCTGGTCCGGCCCCTCCCTGCTTTTCCTGCCTCCTCTCTGACGGTCCTGCTCCAGCCCTGCACCCAGTGAGCCAAGGACTCATTTCACCTGCTCTTCCCTCTGTCTAGAACAGCTCCCCTGCCCCACCATTTGCTTGATCTTCAGGTTCTGCACTATCTGGGGGAATAAGCTTATGTGATAGTATGCTGGCAGCCAGCTCCCCACTGGACTACCTCTCGAGACCTTTCTCCTCTGAGCAGCCTGGGCACTTTTCCAGATTCAGATCAGGTCATTCCAGCTACCACATTTTTTAGAGACTTCCCATTGCTCTCAGCACAGACTGAATTCCTTGTCTGAGATCCTGCAGGGTCTGGCCCTGCCTGTCTGTAGCCCCTCCCACGAGTGGTTCCTCCACTGCAGCACTTGCTGTTCCCTCTGCCTGGAATGGTCTTACCTCCCTCTTCTTCTTGTTGGTTCCTAACTACGCTCAGGTCTCTGAAACTCCAGATGTGGTCACAGCCTTCTAACAGACTCATGATACCTTGAACCATCGCATTTGACATTTGTTTATGTGACTGGTTGATTGGTGTCTGCCATCCCCTTAGACCACATGCCTCATGAAGGCAGGGGCCCTGTCCATGATCCCCATTCCTGTGCTGTTTGTTGAATGCCCAGTGCATAGGATTCAGTCAGAAAGGACAGGAAGGAAGAAGCAGGTGTGAACTGCCTTCTCTGAGCCTTTTCTAACACCCCTGTCTAACATGAGCTCCTCTCCCGTGCACCTGGCCCATCCCTTTAACGTTGCCATAACCACATTGCCTTGCCTGTGTCTGCTAACTAGCCAGTCTCCCCTCAGCTGCAGTCCCCAAGGACAGGCACATGTCTCATAAATCTTTGTGTTCCTTATGTCTGGCATTGGACCTAATACTTAGCATGCAAAAAATGCTGGGTGGATGGATGATTGGTTGGACAGAAGACAGACAGGATGTATATGGATGAGTGTGAAGTGTGGGAAAATGGATGGGCAGGAAGGAGGGAGGGAGGTAACAGAAGGGTCAGAGGATGGATGGACTTTGATCTACAGTGTAAAGTTTCTCTTTTTCCTAATTGTGAAGTTTGGGAAGTTGTTTGTTTATATTTTTACAGGCAGTGTAGTTAAGGTCAGAGAACTGGACTGGCTGAAAGACAACCTCTGCACAGGTGCGTGTCTTCCTCTCACATCCCATTTGATTCAGTGGTTCCTAGTAATATCTTAAGGCCGTTGGCCCTGTGGCCTTGACTGACAGCAGAGTCCCGGCTACTGCCACAGTCCACGGCTCTTAGCAGGTTCTCTCCATTGGCTGAAAGGAACAGGTGTTGTTCTTGGGCAACTGCTGCATGCTGGGCACCTTGCATTCATGTTATTCAGACCTCGCAGTGTCACTGTACAATAGCCATGGTAATCTTTGAATAATGAGTGAAGACTGATGCTCAGGATAAATGCCTACCCAGCGTCACACAGCTGGTACTTGGCAGGGTCAGGGTGTGAGCTCCAGTCTAAGACACCAGGGCTTGGACCACTTTGCAAACAGTGGTGCCAGGCAGCTGCCTCCCCTTGACAGCCTGCCCTCCGTCCATAGCAGGGAGTCAGCCACATGGCTTCAGGGCCCTTGGCGAGAGATTTCTAAATTCCTTTCACAAACTGTTTCACACTTGTACGCCATTGTAATGTGGAACCTAAAACCCAGAGAGATCAGGGGTCAGGAGCCATGGACACAGGTACAGATCCTGTTCTGCACAGGCTTCTGGCAAGGCAGAGGACAAGACCAAAATCTGTCAGCCCCTAACTGACCGCGGCCATCCCCTAGCTGAAAGGGCACCCCTCTCACTGTGGGTCTCTGCCTGAGCAGCCCTGTCCCTGAAGCTGGGGCCCTGGGATTCGGGGCTGCCTGGCAGTGCCCACCACACTGAGCAGCCCCCAGCCCCATTTCTTCTCCCGAAGCCTCTTATAGTCAGTCTCCCAGTGAGAATTGGTGGCCCACAGAGAAAGGAGAGAGCATAGAACATCCATCTTTCTGTCTTCACAGATCCTGAAGTCCCCTTCAGCTGGTCAGAAGAGGACATCTCTGACCTGTACAGCCACACCACCATACTGCTCGCAGCTGAAGGTAAGAACACTGTCTCCACACAGCCAGTGTCATCGTCACATGTAGCCAAGTGCAACATCGCTGCCCCTCCCGAATTCTCTGCACGTCAGAAGCATCTTTCCAGGACATCTGCTGCAACCACGTGCAGTGTTAATTCTGAAAACTGTTACCACCATGTTTGTAAGGATTCAGTTCCAAGTGTCCGAAGGGTTCTCTGAAGAATAGATTTCTCTGCTATTTGTATGTTTTCCTGTAATGCCTCTTTTCTTCCCCACAGTGTTTTACGATGACGACTTAACTGATGCTCTGTTTAAAACACTCTCCTGGCTCGCTCACAAGTTAAAAAACGCCTGCATAGCTATTCTCTCTGTGGAAAAGAGGTGAGCTCCACACCAGGGGGCCATGCTAGTGTTCCCGAGAGCCAGACTGTCACCTAAAACGTGTTCTCATCAATGTCCTCATTGTCAGTCAGTTAGTCAGCACCTGTTGTGTGTCCTTCACATATCATTTCATCCACATACCAACCCTACCTGTGTGTAAGCACTGCCGTTAACCTTTTTTCAAATGCAGAGGAGTTCAGGTGACATCAGGGAACCTTCTGGCCCACAGCTAGTCAGTAAGTAGTCGAGGACTTGAATGCAGGCCACATGCCAGGGCCAAGCTGCATGACCACCATACTCTGTCAAGGGCCTTTCCTCTTTCTGAACATTTCCTCTGGGATGCCCTCTGTCTCCTCAGGTTCCCCAGGTCTCTATCCTCTGCCTGCTGCAGACGCAGCCCTTCCAGGACGTTTCCACTTGAATATCCTAAGACGTTTGGGCTCCGGCTGATGGAGTGTTCACCTTGTGATAGATGCAGTGCTAGACACTCTGTACACAATTTTCTCTGATTCTTAGAATAATCCACTGCTTTTCTGAAGGCTGTTTGGAATATGTATCAAAAGCCATAAAACCGAACATAATTATTGCCCCAGCAATTTAGCATCTAGAATTTCAGCCTGTGGAAGTTATCGCAGCTCTGTACAAAGCCATCCACACAGACATATTTGTTGTTTATACCAATAATGTCTAGGATTTACGTCAAAGCCCACATGACCAATGGCAACACATGATCAATGAACCTCACCTTAATTCTAATTTTATAGACCATAAAGGGAAAAATCGAGACAGTCAGGAAAAGTTGAATACTGACTAGATAATTAATGGTAAAGAATTATCATTGAATATGTTTTCGGGGAAAAGAGCCTGTATCTTTTCAAGATACACATCGACCTATGTATGGAAGAAATACTGTGATGTCTGGCATTTGCTTTTTAATCTAGTGGTGGAAGGAGGACAGAGGTGACAATGGCCATGAGTTGACAGTAGCTGAAGCTAGGCAGTTCATTATACTGTTCTCACTCTTTTTATATCTTGAAGTTTTTCATAATAAAAGATTTTGGAAAGGGAAAGAGGCAAAGAGTTGGAATTTCACATTAACCATGTTGTGCACTGCGGTGCAGGAAAGTGCGAGTGGCGCAGCTGGAGATGTTCCGCGAGGACTCAGTTCTGAAGTTGCCCCTCTGAAATCTCCCCCAGCCCGTCAGCTCCCCAGCAGTGTTCTCTCTGCCCACCAGGTTCTCATAGGCCTCTGCACCTCCCTCTACCACTGCCCACTGTCAATTCATTATATAAAGAGTCATGAACAAGCCACGCCCAGATCTGTGCTAGGTGCAGGTGAGGGGGCGAGCAGACGTGCACGTGGAGCCTCAGGTGTTGGTCTATATCCACCTCTTCGCACCAGTTTGTAGCTCCTCGGGGCAGTGGTGTTGCCTTGGGCACATGACTTCACCTCTCCGAGGCTCAGTTTACACCTCTGTGAAATGGAGGTGGTAGCCATGTCCACCTCCCAGGCCTTCCTACAGACTCAGGGAGGCAGTGTGCATAGATGCTCAGCACACAGTAAGCACTCAGTGAAAACTCTGCGGCATGAGTGAGTTCGGAGGCAGCAGGAAGGTGAGCTGTGAGGGAACAACCAGACCTTACCTGTGGTGATGGACAGAGTGTGCTGGCCGCTTGTTTGCAGGCTGAACTTCACGCTGAGTCACCTGGATGTCACGTGTGAAGCCTATGACCACTTCCGCTCCTCCCTGCACCAGCTGGAGAAGCTCGAGGACAGCCAGCTACGCTTTACGGTGGAGCCAGTGGAAGCCTCCTTCCCGCAGTACCTCGTGTATGAGCGCATCCGGCAGCTGGTAGGTGCAGCCACCTGCCTCAGGGCCACTTTTGCTCTGGCATGACCCTGTGGAGTTGGCCAAAGTGCTCTCTTTAGTGAAGCGTGTGGTGGGATCTCACCTTGCTTTTAACAGTCACCGTGTCCGGGGGTGGGCCTGCCAGCAGAAGCACGTTCTTTTCCTGTGGGCACTTGAGACTCCAGAGGAAGCAGGACCAAGGGTGGTTGGGGGAGCAGGAAGTCAGTGGGGCACTTGGTTAGGTTGAAGATCTTAATTCAGAGACTTGCGGTGCTGATGGTCACATTTTCACAGAGGAAATGTGCTGGCCTTTCAGACTAGGCAGACTTGTCTGATGACCAGTGACCCTTCTGACCCTGCACATTAGGATCCCATCATATTAGGCCTCTTAAGCTATCATCCTAATAACAATACCTGTGCTAGGTGCCGTGCTGAGCTCTTTTCATCACTATCTCAGTTAATGCCACAGCAAGTCACTCAGCCAGGGCACAGCAGAGCCACGACTTCCAAGTGCTGTTTTTAAACCCAGCACTTAGAGAAAATTTGCAAAGTCAAAATTACACTTGAAAATTCAGTAACATTCCCAGGAGCTGGATACAGAAGTCCAAAGCCCCAGAATTCATGTCTTACAGTCTTTACCTTTTGGCTGTGCTCTCCCTTTCTCTGGATCTATGGAGACCTGGGCCTGGTCTCACACTCCTGTCCTGTCCCAAAGCAAGCACAGCACTGCATTTCTGTGCTTGCTGTTTGCAACGAGGCGTGTTTGTTCACGTGCTGTTGAGTGGGCTCTGACTCCTGGTGACCCTGTGAGTGCTGATGTCCTCAGTGTCCTGTCCTCACCAGCCTTGCTCAGCCCTCCTCATTCCTATGGCTTCTTTTATGGAGTCAGTCCATCTCATATTTGGCCTCTCTTTTCCTGCTGCCTTCTGCTTTTCTCAGGATTACTGTCTTTTCTAAAGAACCTTGCCCGTCAAGATGTGCCCAAAGTAGGACAGCACAGTTGTGTCATTTTTGCCTCCAGTGATGTGTCAGTTTTAATCTACTCTAGGACCCACTTGTTCATCTTTCTGGCAGTCCAGACGATCCATAGAGCTTTTCTCCAACACCTTATTTCAAATGAGTCCTATCAGTCTTCTTCCCTGTCCAACTCGCTCCTTCCATTTACTGTTGCGCTGCCTCTGGCCAGCCTCCCTGCCCATGAGCCTTGCTGCTTGTCAGCCTCCCAGTAGACAGCCCACAGAAGATGTGAGGTGTGCACCAGGAACCTGGTGTGTGATTGTACCTTCTCACCTGCGGCCAAGAAAAAAAACTGCTTCTAAACTCGGCAACCATGGTACATGGCACGAAAGACTTACCTAAATGGAGAAATTGTGGCGACTTGCCGCCATTCCCTGGTCTATTTTGATCGTGTGGCATCCTGACGCCTCCTGGATTCATGCCGGGGCTTACCCATCCAGCTGCTCCTCCACAGTGAAGCAGAAGGAGCAGCCCAGAGTGCCCCACTCCTGCAGTAGTTTGCGTGCTGCCCCTGGCTTGCATGTCTGTTCTTTGCTAATTACATCCCTTTATGAAATTGTGAACACTCATTTGTGCATCTGCGGCATCTCTCCTTTCTCTTTTTGCTGCAGGAGCTGTGGAAGATCTTTGTGGAACCAGTAACATGACCATCACGTCTGCAAGCCCGGCTTCTTGACTGTTCGGATCGGTTCTAATAAAATCAAGGGCTCACAGCATGATGTGCTTCAGATGTTATCATTTTTAAAATGAAGCAAACATAACCTTATATGACCTAATATGATCCAAGACAGTTTTCTGGAGTCGGTTGCTGCCTCTTGGTAGCAGCCAGAGAAGAACATTAATTGCTCTGGGCTGGAAGTCCATTTGGTTGTGTTTTCATGCTGCTTGCTTGGAATGTGTGGCAGGATGTTTCGGAGAGCTGCTCCGTCAAGTTGGGCAAATGGTCTCAACCTGATTCCACTTGCCCTTTGCTTGGGATCAGGGGACCCAGGGCTGCGCCAGTAGTCTGTTATGGTCCTCTCTGATAACTGCTTACAAATGTTGTCACCACAATTACTATAATAACACCATGCAAACTGAGACACAGAAGCTTCATTTCCTTCATGGCTACGATGCCAGTGCTCTGTCCCTGTCCCTCTGCCTAGGGCCCTTTGGGTGGGGGAGGCAGGAGCTGGGTGGCACTGTACTCTCCTGTCAAGTGGCCTTTGTTTTCTCTTTTAACCTTTTATAACCAAAATGCATGTGTCTGTCTGTCTTATGTTTTTCTCTGTTTGTGCCTCTCCTATTTCTACCCCTCCCTGTCACTCTGGCTCGCTCCCACTGTCTCTACCTCCTTGGTCTCTGCCAGTTTGGATCCCATCTTCCTGCGGCCCTTGGCACCCCTTGCAGCACCCTCTCCCCTCACTGGCTTCTCCTGTGCCCTTTCCTCCAGAGCCCGGCATGGCCCACCCCTACGTGCCTGTCATAGCCCAGACCTCCTGGCTTCTTTCCACCCCTCCAGCTCCAGCTGTCCCTGCCCACACTCACCTTTCCCCAAGCACCCGCATTTGTTTCCCAGGCTCATCATGCCTGCAGTCACTGACTTACCTGGACACCAGGGGCCAGGCATTTGCAAGTCTTACTTTATCTTCCCAGCAACTCTAGGTCAGCAGCCTGGCTATACCCATTTAACAGTTGAGAAGACTGATGCTCCAAAAGAAAAAACTCAAATGAATTCAAAGCCCTTGTTTGTCTTAATAGCAATATATTCCTGGCATGTGGTCTGGCCCAGACTCGGTATTCAGCACATGTTGCATGAAACACTGATACAAATTACTACTAGAGCGGTGTTTACCAGTTACAGGTTCCAGGAGCATTTGGCCATGTTCCCAAACATTTTTGGTTAAGTCAGAAATGGGTGCTACTGACCAGGGGTGCTCTTAAACATCCTGCAATGCTCAGGACAGCTCCTTCCACAGCTAAGGGTGATCCAGCCCCAAGTGTTACTAGCGCTGATGTTGAGAAACCTGGGCCTGGAATAAAAAAAATAAGCTACCTTAAGAAAGAAAAGTGGGTTTCAACTGAACCTGCAGTGAAAGCTATACAAGAAATGAATCTCACCCCTTTCCCGCAGTAGTGGGCAGAAAAATTATATCTAATCTAAATCTTAAAAAGACCCTAAAAGTCAGAAGGGATCCCCATGAGAAATCTGAAGTTTAGAGAGGTTAAGCAACTTGTTCAGCATCACACAGCTGCCAAGCGACGGAGTCAAGCTCAGAGCCTGCACCCATCTGATCCCGATGCCCAAGCTCTTCCCACCACATTCCCGCCAGCAGCGATGGTGGTGGCATCACCTGGGAGCCTGGTAGGGCAGCAGCAGCCCTTGCCCAGACCTGAGTTGAATCTGTGTTTTGACAGGACTCCAGGAAGCTCATATGCACAGTGGTTTGAGAAGTAGAGCCTTAGAGGTACTCCGTTTTCCAAGGTTCCCACACAGAAAAAAATTCCTGATAGACTTGCCATAATGGACCAAGTCACAGGACATGACGGGATACATTAATAATGAGTCTTCCAAAGAGAACCCCACTAGACAGAGCCCACCGCTGGTAATACGTCAGCACTAATGGCGACATTTTCCTAGCACTCCTGGGGACAAGTCCATAAATGTAATTGGCACCAAGCAGCAGAGTTGTCGCGCCTTTCACCTGGCGTGTTAAGGCAAGTGCTCTTCTATCTAAACCACTCGGCCTGAAAGCTTCCTCTAAGTGGAGCCTGGAAGTAATCGACCTACTGTAATTCACAGCATTGTCAGATTTTTACTTCTCAGTGTGGAGATGCGCCCTTCTCACCATGTTTTATGGCTTTGCTTGAGCCTCTGTAAGTGCTTGTTTAGCTACAATATCTCAAAATCATCAAACCAGTGAGATGTTCTTCTGGGGAATTAACCGAAGCCATTGGACTCATTTCTTTTCTTGACACATTCTAATATTTTCAGAGAAATATGTGGCCCAGGAAGGGGACTTGGTTGTTCAAGCCCGCACAGGAAAGATGTGGTAAAACCAGAAAATAGTATTGCCCCCAGCCTTTCTCAGATGACTGTGGACGCAAATCATCTGGGGTCCCACCACATTGGAGATTCTGACTCAGTCCTGGGTGGGGCTCAATGCTGCAATTTAACAAGCTCCCAGGTGACACTGGTGCTGCTGGCCCAGCAACCACACTGTTAAGAGTGAGGCTATGGTAGGCCATTCCTGGTTAAGGGCATAAACTCGGGTTGGGCAGGCCTGGGTTCAAATTCTGCCTCTGCCGCAGACCAGCCAGATGACTTCAGGCACGTGACCTAGCCTCTCTGAGCCTCAGCTTCCTCCTCTGTGACGTGGTGAGACTCCTCTTCACAGAGTTACTGTGAAGATTATACTAGCTAATTCACGTAACATGCACCAGGACATTTTCAATAGATTGCGGATATTGTTCTAATAGAGTTTTTTAGTTTGGGAGCATTTTCAATTTGTAGACCATGCCCTGCATGATTCCTAAGGCTTGGTTGTCAGTTGCTAGAGAAATCATTGTGAGCAAATGCTACCTACCTCTATAAATAACATGGATTCCCTTTGTTCCCTATGCTGTGGCAATAGCTGGGTGAAAAACAAATGGGAAAAGTTATGTCGAGCAGCCTGCCTTAAATTCCAAGCTCCATGTTAAACCCCAGGGTCACTTCAGGGGATCTGGGAGCCTCTCAGAGGAATAGGCAAGGCTTCTTCCGCACTGCTGAGCCCATGTCCAGCAGGACTCCCTGGGGGCTGCTGGGAGTGGGGACTGGCTGCCTGGGCTCAACCTGTGAGTCCAAGTTCTTCATACAGACTGAAGATAGATGCGGGCTGCTGGGTCTGCCCCAACTGTGGGGAGCCCCTAGTGTGCCCTGGAGCCATGAGCAGGAGGCAGACCCTGGCCCTACATGGCTCTGATGTAAAATATTGGTAGGAGACCCAGCTTGTCTCATCTGTGCATCAAGTTGACCCACCCATACCTTAGCCCTCAGCTGCAGCAATCATATGTGTCCCCAGTGGATTCAGGGGCAGAGTAGCTGTGTACAGGGTGCTGGTCCTCCCCATGGGATGGCACCACTGTATGTGTGGTGTTTTCCATCTTACATCCTTCTAGAAAACCAGGTGATTGTGGTATTAGATTGAAGCCTATCGCACCTGGTGAGTGAAGTTGCCAGTTCAAAGCTACTTCTGTGCCAAGGAAAAGTAATGTCTCCATCATTGGCAGCAGGCAGATGTTTCAACCCTGGATCCCAGCTTGAACCTGGGAGACCTTCCAGAGTAAGCTGATTCTCACACAGCAACTCAGCACATACCCTAAAGGGGGTGTCAGCAGGATTTGCTTATTTTCAGCATTGCCTGTGATTCTGCCCAGCAACAACTGTTGCTGGTGGCCAACTGTTGATTTTCAAATCTGTAACTATTAAGTGATGTTATGGTCTCTCTACCAACAGACTGTGAAGTCAACCTGATGGTTTTGTGAATTTTAGCCTTGTTAAAGCTACAAAGGGCCATGCTGCACCAAAAGTTAGTGGGCAGGGCTAGCACTGGACCATGCGTTTGGGTGATGAAAAATGCCTGGGCTCTTGGGGACAGCCCTGTTGTCTGTTCTCACATGGGCACTCCTTCTTGTCAGACTATCTGCACTCAGTGGATAGGCTTTCTGTGTTGATAGCTAAACATCAATGGGATGAATGGAAAGGGTAGGGAAGTGGAGGGAGAAACCATATCACCATCAGTGATTGAAGGTCACAGGAAATAAAGCTAGCTCAAGTGCAGTGTACAAATAAATTAATAGAAAAATCTATCTCTATTGATAGATGCCCGGTCAAAGTGGGTCTCAAATTGGTTTCCCATGAGTAGGACTTGGTGATTTTAAGTGGAAGACTTATAATGATTAAAACCTAACTTTATTTTTGAGCTGCCCTATGTAGTAAAGCCTTAATTAATGAGAACTGAGTGAACTAAACCTGCTTCCCTGTCAATTCCAAGGCTCAAGCCACTGAGTGGTAGAAGTAGGACAGGGACTTGGGGTACAGGATCATGGCACGTCAGCACCAGCTCCTAAACCTAATATCTGGGCAGTGAAGAGCCACTAAGAGATGACCTGAGGGAAGAAATTTGGAACTAGGCTCCAGTAGAATGCTCTGTGGAGATCCTGGAAAATCAAGAGTTGGCAACAGCCAGCTCTTCCAGACAGTTTACATGTGTTCAGTAAATCCTCCAATACACACCTGAAGGAAGTACTGATCTCATTTTATGATTGGGTAAACTAAGGCATGAGGGCAAGCCAGATAACTCTCTCCAGGCCATATAGGTGGTAAAGGACAGAGATGGGATTTGGACCCGGACAGTCTGGCTCTGGGGTCCACACACTCAACCATCCGGCTGTCCGCCACTCTGAGCAGTTCCCCCATATGGCACAGCTTATAAATGGCAGCTCTAAAGTATGTTTGTATATGTAGAAAGTTACTTGTACTGTTAAGCTCAGGTTGGTTCGGGGCATTGGACTGGGACAGAGAGGCTGGTAAGAGACTTGCCCTTTGTACTATATACATGTATTTTGTTTTTACAGCGACCTGAGCGTTACATCCATTGTGGGTTATTTTTATGTTTTTCATTTTTACTGAAAATAAAGAGAAAGGAAAATTAGGTTCACACAAATACACATATGCCCCCCACAAA